GGCTTGGGAAGCACCAGTACAGAGGAGGCCTAGACAGGGTAGTTGGCCATAGAAACTCTCCAGCATTCATTCTTATAAAAATAACCCAACTGGCCAGGGCAAGAGGCTCACACCTGTAATTCCCAGCACTTTGGAAAGGACGAAGGCAGGCAGTTCATTAGGTCAGAATTCGAGACCAGCTGGCCATATCAGGTGAAACCTCCTATACTTATTAAAAATACAAAAATTAAGCATCCTGGCATGGGTGCGGGAGGCACCTGTTTAATCCCAGCCTTACTTCGGGACGCTTGAGGCAGGAGAATCGCTTGAACTGGGAGGGGGAGGTTGTAGTGAGGCAAGGATCGCCGCCATTGCCACTTTTCCAGCTCTGGGACAAGAGGCAAACTTCCGTCTCAGAGAAAAAAAATGAAAAAAAAAAAAGCCGGGATGAGCAGTGGACCACGCCTGTAATCCCAGGCACTTTGGAAGGGCTGAGGGCATGGGCAGGATCACTGAGGTCATGGAGATCGGAGACCCATCATGGGCTAACACGAGTTGAACCCCATCTCTATAAAAATACAAAAAATTAGCTGCGGCATGGCAGGTGGGCGCCTGTAGGTGCCAGGTTACATTGGAGGTTGAGGGCAGGATGATGGGTGTGAATCCGGGATGGCGGAAGCTAGTCAGTGAGTTCAATGATTCCAACGGCCACTGCACTCCAGGCCTAGGCGACAGATGGAGAGGGACTCCATCTCAAAAACAAAAACAAACAAACAAAAATCCAAACTTAATCATACACTTTTGAACCCTAAGAATTACGTTGAGTCTTGAAGAAAATGGGACTGTGTGATCTGAGCCATGCAGCATGTAACTACAACTTCTGCTTATAGATTATAGATTAACTCTCCTGTTCTTGCTCTGTAAATTGATTTAAAAAGACTAAATGGCATCAGCATTAAGATCTCCCTTTTAGATTGCTGACCTTTCCTCTATTATGATCTTGCACCTAAATCAGACCAGATAGTGCAAAAGACCCCGTGACTGTTACATCCTCTACGTGAATGTTAAATATACCCTTCCCAAAAAGACTACTGCCTTGACTAATCAGATTACTGTTAACCATGTACTCGCGTTGTGTGAAATATGTGGAAACTCTGTCAAGCTTCCCAAACCTTACCTGTATAAATGATCCCCAAACTTCCTCACGTTGGAGTGCTGATTTCCATTCTTTGGAATCTGTGTTTCAGGGTGGCCGTCCTCAAACTTTGGGCTAAACTAAACTCGACATTTAACCATATTTCCTGAATTTATTTATTTAGGGTTGACGTTTTGATGATCCAGATGGGATCTGAAATGGAGTTCCAGTGACCTTGCCACTTTTGACAATCAGAGCCTTTGTACTGTAACCGCAAAGGGGTCTTGATCCAGACCCTGAGAGGGTTCTGGGATCTCACCCAAGAAAGAATTAAAGCAGGCAAGTCCATACAGTAGAGTGAAAGCCAGTTTATTAGGAAAGTAAAGGAATAATGGAATGGCTACTTCATAGAGCAGCCCCGAGGGCTGCTGGGTTTTTGTTGTTGTTGTTGTTGTTTTTGAGATGGAGTTTCACTCTTGTTGCCCAGGCTGGAGTACGATGGTGGGATCTCGGCTCACCACAACCTCTGCCTCCCGGGTTCAAGCGATTCTCCTGCCTCAGCCTCCTGAATAGCTGGGATTACAGGCATGCACCACCACGCCCGGATAATTTTGTATTTTTAGTAGAGATGGGGTTTCCCCATACTGGTCAGGCTGGTCTTGAACTCCCAACCCCAGGTGATCCACCCGCCTCGGCCTCCCAAAGTGCTGGAATTACAGGCTTGAGCCACTGCGCCTGGCCAGGTTTCTCATTTTTATGGTTATTTCTTGATGATAAGGTAAACAAGAGGTGGATTATTCATACCTTCCCTTTTTATTTATTTATTTTTATTTTTATTTTTTGAGACGGAGTCTCTCTCTGTTGCTCAGGCTGGAGTACAGTGGCGCGATCTCGGCTCACTGCAAGCTCCGCCTCCCGGGTTCATGCCATTCTCCTGCCTCAGCCTCCCGAGTAGCTGGGACTATAGGTGCCCGCCACCATGCCCAGCTAATTTTTTGTATTTTTAGTACAGATGGGGTTTCACTGTGTTAGCCAGGATCATCTTGATCTTCTGACCTCATGATCCGCCCACCTCAACCTCCCAAAGTGCTGGGATTACAGACGTCAGCCACCACGCCTGGTCCATGCCTTCCCTGTTTAGACTGCCATATATGGTAACTTCCTGATGTTGCCATGATCTTTGTAAGCTGTCATGGCGCTGGTGGCAGTGTAGCAGTGAGGACCACCAGAGGTCACTCCCATCACCGTCTTGGTTTTGGTGGGTTTTAGCCAGCTTCTTTACTGCAACCTGTTTTATCAGCAAGGTCTTTAGTGCTGACCTCCTATCTCATCATGTGACTAAGAATGCCTTAATCTCCTGGGAATGCAGCCCAGTAGGTCTCAGCCTTATTTTACTCAGCCCCTATTCAAGATGGAGTTGCTCTGGCAGCTACCTGATTTATGAATTGTTCTTTGCTCAATTACACGCCATGAAATTTAATATGTCCAGAGTTCTCCCTTTAACAAAGTTTAAAGTGAAGAAACTTTAGAATGAAATAAGATTAAAAAGTCATTTCTTGGTCCCACCAGCCACATTTCAAGGGCTCAAGAGCAGCAGGTGACCAGGCATGGTAGCTCACGCCTGTGATCCCAGCACTTTGGGTGGCCAAGGCAGGTGGATCACCTGAGGTCAGGAGTTCCAGATCAGCCTGGCCAACATGGCGAAACCCCGTCTCTCCTAAAAATACAAAATTCAGCCGGGCGTGGTGGCGCATGCCTATACTCCCAGCTGCTTGGGAGGCTAAGACATGAGAATCGCTTGAACCCGGGAGGCAGAGGTTGCAGTGAGCCATAATTGCACCACTGCACTCCAGCCTGGGTGACAGAGCAAGACTCTGTTTCAAAAAAAAAAAAAAAAAAAGCAACAAGTGAGAAATTCTCTTGGACACTCAGACAACTCTGCTCCCAATGAATCTTCAGAGCCTGAGCCAGTCTCACTCATCGTTTTCTGTCTTTTTAGCTCCATTTGATTTTATTTTTAGAGACAGGGTCTCGCTCTGTCACTCAGGCTGGAGTGCAGTGGCACAATCATAGCCCACTGCAGCCTTGACCTCCTGGACTCAAGTGATCCTCCCATCTCAGCCTCCCAAGTAGCTGGGACCACAGTCATGTGCCTCCATGCCCAGCTAATTACAAAATTTTTTTTTTTAGAGACGAGGTCTCTATGTTGCCCAGGCTGGTCTCAAACTCCTGTTCTTAAGTGATCCTCCCTCCTTGGCCTCCCAAATAGCTGTGATTACAGGCACAAGCCACCACACCTGGCCTGACTCATCTTTGTACAGTAATTGGTGCCAGCACTTTCTCTCTAGGCCTGCTTCTGATTCTTTTCACACTAACTTCTCACCCTGTTCAGAGATGAAAGAGGTAGGCAGTGTTTGCCACCCTTGCATTAGGAGGGAGTCTTTAGTTTCTCAGAGTAATACTCCATCCCTAGTAATTGGTGAAGGTTGATGTAGCCATCATCAGAAAAAATCCAGGTGCAAAGGTCTGCCAACATTGACCACAGTAAGAGCAAAACTGCAGAACTTCACTTCTTAAGCAGGCTTTTGAAACTGATCAACTTTCTTTTTTTTTTCTTTCTTTTCTTTTCTTTCTTTCTTTCTTTCTTTTTTTTTTTTTCTGAGGTAGGGTCTCATTCTGTCACCCAGGCTGGAGTGCAGTGGCGCAATCTCAGCTCACTGCAATCTCCACCTCCCAAGCTCAGGTGATCCTCCCATCTTGGCCTCCTGAATAGCTGGGACCACAGGTGTACACCACCAAACCCAGCTAATTTTTAGTATTTTTTGTAGAGGCAGAGTTTTGCCACATTGCCCAGGCTGGTCTTGAACTCCTGGACTCAAGCAATTTACACACCTCTGTCTCCCAAAGTGTTGGGATTACAGGTGTAAGCTACTGCACCCGACCCACACTGGTCAAGTCTCAATATTCTGAATATAAATTCCAATTTATCTGGCTTATTCATAACATCACTAGATTCCAAATTTCTGGTGTCATAAATTTGATTACTTTCATCACGAGTTTCAGCATGATTCTGGGTCTCTTCCAGAAGAAGACTGGACCAGGAGCAGTGGCTCACACCTGTAAGCCCAGAGCTTTGCGACGCCAAGGTGGGAGGATGGCTTGAGTCCAGGAGTTCAGGACCAGCCTGGGCAACATGTGAGACTCCCATTCCTATAAAAATTAAATTAAAAAACAAAAAATATGGCTGGCTGCAGTGGCTCATGCCTATAATCCCAGCACTTTGGGAGGCCAAGGCAGGCAGATCACAAGGTCAGAAGATCGAGACCATCCTGGCTAACACCATGAAACCCCATCTCTACTAAAAATACAAAAAATTAGCCGGGTGTGGTGGTGCGCACAACCAGGCTGGTTCACCATGTTGGCCAGGCTGGTCTTGAACTCTGAGCTCAAGTGATCCGCCCATCTCAGTCTCCCAAAGTGATGGGATTATAGGTGTGAGGCACACTTCCTGGTCAACTTTTATTTTCTAAAAAGACTACGGGAGTTAAGAAAAGGGAATCGCCGGGCGCGGTGGCTCACGCCTGTCATCCCAGCACTTTGGGAGGCCGAGGCAGGTGGATCACCTGAGGTCGGGAGTTCAAGACCAGCCTGACCAACATGGAGAAACCCCGTCTCTACTAAAAATACAAAATTAGCCGGGGTGGTGTGGTGGCACGTGCCTGTAATCCCAGCTACTCGGGAGGCTGAGGCAGGAGAATCGCTTGAACCTGGGAGGCGGAGGTTGCGGTGAGCTGAGATCGTGCCATTGCACTCCAGCCTGGGCAAAAAGAGTGAAACTCTGTCTCAAAAAAAAAAAAAGAAAAGAAAAAAAGAAAAGGGAATCATGGTTTTGGCCAGACCCTTGCTGGCCTCTGGTTTTTAGCGTGTAGAATTGTCAAGAGGAAACTTCTCAGTGCAACTGCATCACCGGGGAGATGCAACCAACCCCACCAAGAAGCGTGAAACACTTTTCAAAGAAAATTGGACAAAGTGCCATGTAGACATTTGAGTTTGAAACATAGATTAAAGTAGCAATGAGGTTTTACCAGTCATCCTTATAGCCAATGGGGATGACTAAAGTTCATTCCTTCTGTGAAATCGATTGAAGTAATGTTCGCGCCCGTTCATTTTTGCCGACAGCAGCTCTTCCTCCTCTTCCTCGCGGGCCTTCTTCATTTCCTCCTTGGCCTGTATGGCATCCATCTCCCTTTCTGGACCCTGGAGAAAGAAGCAAAAAACATAAGCCCCACCGGGCATGGTGGCTCAGGCCTGTAATCCCAGCACTTTGGGAGGCCGAGGCAGATGGATCACAAGGTCAGGAGTTCGAGACCAGCCTGGCCAAGATGGTGAAACCCTGTCTCTATTAAAAATACAAAAATTAGCTGGGCATGGTGGTGTGTAGCTGTGGTCCCAGCTGCTTGGGGGGCTGAGGTGAGAGGATCACTTGAACCCAGGAGGCAGAGTTGCCAGTGAGCCAAGATCGTGCCACTGCCACCTCCAGCCTGGGTGACAGAGCAAGACTCAGTCTCAGGAAAAAAAAAAAAAAAAAAAGCCCCAGAGATTATGCTTCCATGTGGCCAAATGCATGATCAGTACTCAGGCCGGTCCCTGCCTTCTAGAAGCCGCCTCACCACCTGGGATAGGCTGAAATGAGAACAGCCTGTAAAGATTTCATGTCCTGGCCGGGTGTGGTGGCTCAAGCCTATAATCCCAGGCTCTTGGGAGACTGAGGCAGGTGGATCACGAGGTCAAGAGATCGAGACCATCCTGGCCAATATGGGGAACCCCGTTCTCTATAAAATACAAAAAGTAGTTGGGTGTGGTGGTGCGTGCCTATAGTCCCAGCTACTCATGAGGCTGAGGCAGAGAATTGCTTGAACCCAGGAGGGGGAGGTTGCAGTAAGCCAAGATCACGCACTGTACTTCAGCCTGGAAACCAGAGCGAGACTCTGTCTCAAAAAAAAAAAGATTTCATGTCCTAATCCCTGGAACTGCCAATATTAAACCTTATATACGGGCCAGGCGTGGTGCTCACACCTGTAATCCCAGCACTGGGGAGGCCAAGCAGGTGGATCACCCTGAGGTCAGGACTTCGAGCCAGCCTGAGCAATATGTGGAAACCCCCTCTCTTACTAAACTACACAAATTAGCCAGACGTGTGGCATGCGGCTTGTAGTCCCAGCTACTCGGGATCTGAGGCAGGAATCACTTGAACCCGGGAGGTGGAGGTTGCAGTGGCCGAGATCAGCCACTGCACTACCGTACACCCTGGTGACAGAGCTAGACTCCATCTCAAAAAAAAAAGAAAAAACAGTTTACACAAATAAATTAGTGATGTAGGAAGAGTTAATCACATGCTTCATACCTTGGTTTCGCCCCAGGTGGCCTTGCCAAAATTATCTGCATACTCTTCATCATCTGTGATCAGAAAGTTATCGAAAATAGTTCCAGATCTCACCTGCAGATGAAAATAAGGCCTTCATTATTATGCTTTTACTCTTTATTATTTGTTTATTTTTCATTTCTTTTTTCCTTTGGAAATATATGAAGCTCAGGTGACATTTTTTATTTTTTAGAGATGGGGTCTTGCTATTTGCCTAGGCTGGATCTGAACTTCTGGGCTTGGCCAGGCATGGTGGCTCACACCTGTAATCCCAGCACTTTGGGAGGCTGAGGCGGGTGAATCACTTGAGGTCAGGAGTTCAAGACCAGCCTGGCCAACATGGTGAACCCTGTCTCTACTAAAAATACATAAATTACCAGGTGTGGCAGTACATGCCTATAGTCCCAGCTACTTGGGAGGCTGAGGTGGGAGGATCGCTTGAACCTGGGAGGCAGGGGCTGCAGTGATCTGAGATCGTGCCACTGTACTCCCACCTGGGTGACAGAGTGAGACTCTGTCTCAAAGAAAAAAAAAAAAGAACTTCCGGGCTCATGTGATCATCCCATCTCAGCCTCCCCAGTAGCTGTGACTACTACAGGCGTGAGCCATACTGTCCCTGGCCACTAGGCCTTCATTATTGATGTGACAAAAAGAAACAGATGTATTTTGCTCAGTACAGTGTACCGTAACAGCAGTTAGAATAGTAGGTGGTGCTTAAATCCATTTCTAGAATATCCTTTCCCTCTAGGGCACTGGTTCTTCAAACTTGGCTACACATTAGGATCACCAAAACTTTTATTTTATTTTTTTGAGACTTAGTGTCGCTGTTTTTTTTTAAAAAAAAAACAAAGTCTCGCTCTGTTGCACAGGCTGGAGTGCTGTGGCGCGATCTTGGCTCACTGCAACCTCCACTTCCTGGGTTCAAGTGATTCCTCCCAGGTTCAAGTGATTCTCATGCCTCAGTCTCCTGAGTAGCTGGGACTACAAGCACGCGCCACCACACCCAGCTAATTTTTGTATTTTTAGTAGAGATGGAGTACTATGTTGCCCAGGCTGGTGTCAAATATCTGAGCTCAGGCAGTCTGCCTGCCTGGGCCTCCCAAAGTGCTGGGATTACAGGCATGAACCACCACGCCCAGCTGGGATCACCAAAGCATTTAAAAAACAAAACAAAACAAAACAACTCTCAGCACTTTGGGAGGCTGAGGTGGAAGGATTACTTGAGCCTAGAAGTTTCAAACCAGCCTGGACAACACAGTGAGACCCCCATCTCTTAAAAAAAATCTGGGTATGGTGGCTTGTGTCTGTAGTCCTAGCTACTTGGGAGGCTGAGGTGGGAGGATTGCTTGGGCCCAGTTTGAGGCTCCAGTGAGCTAGAATCGTGCCTAGGTGACAGAATAAGACCCTGTCTCAAAAAAACACAACAAAACACACACACACACACACACACACACACACACAAACTAAAGTAAATTTAAAATCAAATGACCTGCCAAAGCTCCAGGCCGATGGCACCAATGTTCTCAAATTCCGAGAGGTCATACTGTGTCAAATAGTTGGTATTCTTCATTTTATGGTGGAGCCAGATGTCTTTATCAATACCTTCTGGTTTCAGGCCATCCTGCATCAGAAAAACCATATGAGGTGGTCTCAATGGCATGGGCAGGGGAGGGGCATCCCTGGGGCATCCCTGGCATCATGCAAAGAGGCCACACACCTGGTACGGGGGCTTCTGGAGCATCGACGCCGGCCAGTCCCCATCCAGTTCACCATTCCAGTCGCTCTGCTTGCTGGCACTGGCGTCCAGAAAATGCTTCTCCCAGTCCTTCAAAGACAGGTAAGGAAAAAGTAAAATCAATCAGATGCTCATATATTTGTTGTTGTTGCTTCTGTTTTTGTTTCCTGAGACTAGGTTTTGCTCTCGCCCAGACTGGAGTGAGATAGCGCAATCATGGCTCACTGCAGCCTCAATTTCCTGGGTTCCAGTGATCCTCCTGCCTCAGCCTCCCAAGTAGCTCAGACTACAGGTGCTCGCCATCATACCTGGCTACTATTTTTATGTTTTGTACAGTCAGAGTCTCCCTCTGTTGCCCAGGCTGGTCTCAAACTCCTGGGCCCAAGCGATCCTCCTGCCTTGACCTCCGAACTGCTGGTATTACAGGCATGAACCACTGCACCCAGCCAGATGCTCAGATTTGAGAAAGGAAATTCTTAGATGCCAAGTGGCAGGCACAGGCTGGTGACCCCTGTCCTAATGTCCCTTTCCCTTCTTCAATTTGGTCGTCAGGAGGCCAAGTGCTTGGTGCTTCCAATGCCACTAAGGACTTCAGGGCAATACCACACTGCCTAGATTTTTCTCCCTACCCTGCCATATGACTTTAGCCCTTTCCTCCGTGCTATGGAGAGGAGCAGCGGTGTGGAAAACTTCAAGTAGTGGCTAGAGTGAAAATGATGGTGCAAAAAGTGATGACAATGGCCAGATGTGGTGGCTCACGCCTGTCATCCCAGCACTTTGGGAGGCCGAAGTGGGCAGATGACTTGAGGTCGGGAGTTCGAGGCCAGCCTGGCCAACATGGTGAAACTCCATCTCTACTAAAAATACAAAAATTAGCCGGGGGTGGTGGTGGGTGCCTGTAATCCCAGCTACTTGGGAGGCTGAGGCAGGAGAATCACTTCAACCTGGGAGGCAGAGGTTGCCGTGAACCGAGATTGTGCCACTGTACTCCAGCCTGGGCAACAAGAGTGAAGCTCCGTCTCAAATAAATAAATAAATAAATACTCTTTTACGATACCTTCAGATGTGTAGCGATGTGGCTGGTCTGCAGTGTGTGCTCTGGGAAGGCCATTTGGTGCTACAATATTGCCATCGTGGTTACCAGCCATGCAGCAATGGTCCAGTAACTGGGTACTTACAAACTATATTTGTGCACTTTCTAGAGTTGCCCAGGAAAAATTCACACCTGGGCTTTGTTGTCTTTAGTCTGCTCCCAATCCTTCGATTCTGCCGGGGATGTTTCCTTCTTCAGTGATGTTAAGTTCCAGTCGTACTCTATGCTGCCGGATTCAATTGACTGACCATCAATTTTCACGTCGTAAGAAAGATCTGGTCTTAAAATTAGAGTGTAGAGGTGTGTGAAGCCATCAACCTGCACATTTTAGGGGAAAAGCATAAGAATTAAACCCTCAATTTCTCTTTTTTTTTTTTTTTTTTTTTGAGATGGAGTTTCACTCTGTTGTCCAGGTTGGAGTGCAGTGGCGCAATCTCAGCTCATTACAACCTCCACCTCCCGAGTTCAAGCAATTCTACTACCTCAGCCTCCTGAGAAGCTGGGATTACAGGCACCCACCACCATACCCCACTAATTTTTGTATTTTTAGTAGAGATGGTTTCACCATGTTAGCTAGGCTGGTCTCAAACTCCTGATCTCAGGTGATCCACCCGCCTCGGCCTCCCAAAGTGCTGGGATTACAGGCATGAGCCACCGCGACTGACCAACCCTCCATGCTTTAATGCAAGTCTAAATATGCAGTTTATTTTTATTTGTTTATGTATGTATGTATGTATTTATTTATTTTTGAGACGGAGTCTTGCTCTATCACCCAGGCTAGAGTGCAGTGGTGTGATCTCAGCTCACTGCAACCTCTGCATCCCAGGTTCAAGTGATTCTTGCGCCTCAGCCTCCCAAGTAGCTGGGATCACAGGTATGCGCCACCATACTTGAAACCGCCTTTGCAAAATTAAGACTGAGACAGTGAAAGAGATCTCACTTAACTGACTCCATCTTGCTTCTAACCTCCAGGCTGTCCTTGTTCATTCCTGGGCATAGGCTGAACTAACTCTGAGAGAAACTTAGTTTATAGTTTAAACAAAGACAGTAACAGTCCTTTCCCAAAGCAGACCTCCTTCTTGCCTGGGGGCTAGATTGCCTTTTTCTTTTTTCTTTTCTTTTCTTTCTTTTTCTTTTCTTTTCTTTCTTTTTCTTTTCTTTTCTTTCTTTTTTTCTTTTTGAGATGGAGTCTTGCTCTGTCACCTAGGCGGGAGTGCAGCGGCACAATCTTGGCTTACTACAACATCTGCCTCCCAGGTTCAAGCGATTCTCCTGTCTCAGTCTCCTGAGTAGTTGGGATTACAGGCGCTGCCAGCACGTCCGCTTAATTTTTGTATTTTTAGTAGAGATGAGGGTTTCACCGTGTTGTCCAGGCTAGTCTTGAACTCCTGGCCTCAAGTGATTCTCCGACCTCGGCCTCCCAGTATGAGCCACTGCACCGGCCACTTTGAATATTTAATTAAGCTTCAGAACACACTCGAAAGCAAGTGGAAAGTCCAAACATTGTCCTTTAACAGCAATAATAAGATACTTACGCATGTGGCCGGGTGCAGTGGCTCACGCCTGTAATAGCATTTTGGGGGGCCGAGGCAGGCGGATCACCTGAGGTCAGGAGTTTGAGATCAGCCTGACCAACACGGTGAAACCCTGCCTCTACTAAAAATACAAAAATTAGCCAGGCGTGGTGGCACGCAGCTGTAATCCCAGCTACTGGGGAGGCTGAGGCAGGAGAATCACTTGAACCTGGGAGGTGGAGGTTGCAGTGAGCCAAGATTGCACCTTTGCACTCCAGCCTGGGTGACAGAGCAATACTCCATCTCAGAAAAAAAAAGGTATTTACGCATGTAATGGATGTTCATAAGGAAATATAGACAGATGGGCTCTGTGTTGCCTGTCTGGGGTTTTATGCATAACTTATGCATAGGAATTTATGCAAATGTCAAGAATCTGACAATAACTGTGCTTCTCTTCTCTTCCTCCTTAACCCCTCACCCTCAGCAAGCTCCCCTCACACTAATGGCTGGCGCTGACTCATTATAACAAAGCGTTCCAATAGTAAGAGTGGATTTGAGTAAAATGAAACTGTTGAATTCAAAACTGAAATACCAAGAAAAGTTTATTTTAATCTTTTTTTTGACCCCAAATTATGCTGCTTGGCAATTCAGATGTAGTAGACATATGCTATACAGGGTTTTTCCCTTCCTTATTTATTTATTTATTTTCGGACAGGGTCTTATTCTGTCATCCAGGCTGGAGTGCAGTTGTGTGATCACAACCCACTGCATCCTCAAACTCCTCGGCTTAGGAGATTCTCCTACTTCAGCCTCCTGAGTAGCTAGAACCACAGGTGTGTGCAACCTCACTGGGTTAATTTTTAAAATTGTTGTAGAGATGGGGCCAGGCACGGTGGCTCACTCCTGTAATTCCAGCACTTTGGGAGTCCAAGGTGGGTGGATCACCTGAGGTCAGTAGGTCGAGACCAGCCTGTCCAACATGGTGAAACCCTGTCTCTACAAAAATACAAAAAAAATTAGCCGGGTGTGGTGGTGGGGCACCTCTAACCCCAGCTACTTGGGAGGCTGAGGCAGGAGAATCGCGTGAACCTGGGAGGCAGAGGTTGCAGTGAGTTGAGATCTTGCCATTGCACTCTAGCCTGGGCGACAAGAGCAAAACTCTGTCTCAAAAAAAAAAAAAAATTCAGAGATGGGGTCTTGCTATATCGTCCAGGCTGATCTCAAACTCCTGGGCTCAAGGGATCCTCCCTTAGCAGATGTTTCGGATATCTGGGGGTTTTTTTAGTTCTATTTTTATTTTTATTTATTTTTAGTTTTTATTTATTTTTATTTATTTATTTTGAGATGGAGTTTTGCTCTTGTTACCCAGGTTGGAGTGCAATGGCACGATCTCGACTAACCATAACCTCTGCCTCCTGGGTTCAAGCAATTCTCCTGCCTCAGCTTCCCGAGTAGCTGGGATTATTACAAGCATGTACCACCATGCCCAGCTAATTTTTTATTTTTAGTAGAAACGGGATTTCTCCATGTTGGTCGGGCTGGTCTCGAACTCCTGACCTCAGGTGATCCGCCCGCCTCGGGCTCCCAAAGTGCTGAGATTACAGGTGTGAGCCGCTGCACCCAGCCCTAATTTTTATTTTTTGTAGAGACAGGATCTCACTATGTTGGCCAAGCTGGTCTCGAACTCCTGGACTCAAGTAATCCTCCTGCCTGGCCTCCCAAAGTGCTGGAATTACAGGCATGAGCCACTGTGCCCAGCTAAGGATGAGTATTTTGGAAGCACATTCATTCTTTTTTTGGAGACAGAGTCTCGTTCTGTCACCCAGGCTGGAGTGCAGTGGTGAGATCTCGGCTCACTGCAACCTCTGCCGTGATAACTACTCTGACATTTGCTGGCCAGGAATGAAACATCACTGTGCTATTGTTAGAACTCAACTCCGGGATTGTGCAAAATATTACTTTGGAACTCTAAAACAAGACCATTTTGGATATAATGTTAGCTACATACCATTTAGAAGTCGCGCAATGCTAATTCAGCTGTAAAATTGTTTCCATTGATTCAAGATGCACTTTTTTGAGCTTCTTCTTTGTTTCTAAAGAGCTAGATTTATATACAATTACCCAAGTTTATAACCATATTTAATTTAAACATAACTGGCTTTATTAATCTTTTCCATTGCCTCAAGAAACTTTTGTACTTAAAAGAATGTAAGCATCACGTTGACATGAACCCTCAGATATAGTCAAATGATTTCACCAACATTTAGCGATGAGATTACCAGTTTAAGAATTGAACAAAATAGATGAGCTTGAGGCATAATATCTAAGCATACCGTGAATATTCTGATAGCCATTTGCTTATGAACAAATTGATAAACTCTTTTTCTCCCTTTGAATCCAGGCAATTTAACATGCTATATTTCCACGAAAATGTAACTTGGAAACATTTGAATTAATGAAGTCATATTTTCAAACAATACGAAATGTCCACTGCACTAAAACCATTTTCAGATTTATGGAATCCATTTTTGCTATATATGTTCTGATTATTATCTGTTTATTTTGAGGGCCAATGATTGTAAGGGAATTCCACCAGGTGACTTTCTGATCCCAAACAAACTTCTCCCTCTTTCTGAAGTGACTAAACCACCCAGAAAACTTCTCTAGCTCTTTTTTGAAATACTACACATAGGGTTATTGCAAGTTAGTGAAATAGTCGCGGCCCATACGGCTTACTGCGTAACTGTTTGAGGTTATAAACATCTTCAGTAACCTAGAAAACCAAGGTTGCATTATGGATATGCTCCTACCGTTTATGTCAGTTAAACTTCTATCTCCTTTGCATTGCTCTGATTTTTAACAGTACAAAAGTAGGATAATCAATTAAAGAAAAACCTAAAGCTGATTTTTAATTTTTAAAATTATGTTCCTTACTTCTGTTCGTCTACCTCATGGCATGTTCTTGATAGTAACATGATGTTAGTGGGTGTGAATTAGTTATGATTAAGGGCTTCAGATGCCAATTTTAAAGGTTAATTTGGCCTCTTCCATGTAAGTCAGATCTTCATCAGTGATGGAAAGCACTGGAAAAGTTTTAAATAATTTATGTTATTACTAACTGGTGTCATTTATTTCATCTCTTTTGAGGACCTAATAAAGAGAAAGTGGACAGCAACTTACCATCTTTCTTTTGTCTACATAGATACAAAATATTATAACCAATGCTTCTGATCCAAGGGGCGGAACACAAAAAGACAACCACTAAACCATTCCATCCTCAATGAACAGAAAGGAGTTTAGGATAGAAGAGTGTCGTTACCAGCCAGAGGGTTCCAGGCTGACTGTCTTTTATGTTTGAAAGGAACTTTTGCATTTGCTGTTTCCTCATATGCTATTACCTGGTTACTTCGCGCATTGTGGAACCGCAATATTAAATCGTCGGGAACTAATGCAATTATACTCATACAGTATTACTCTCTCAGGACTGCTGATTATACATGTAATACGACATAAATTATAATGCTCGCATTTGTGCTCCCAGGAAAAATCTTATGGTACTTAAGTGCTATATAGAAGTCTTGTTTACTCTGTTGATTTTCCTAAGATTGGCAGATAGAGGCAATGTTAGTGTGCCTCCCCACTTGGTGGAAGAGACGGGATATTTCATAAGAAGCGAGGTAGTAGATATTTTTCACGCTCGTGTATAGATGTATCTACTCACCAGAGAGAACTCTCAAACACAAACGGAACCAGAAGATAAATCTGTCACTCATGTTTCGTAGAACGAATGTTAGTTGCGCATGC